GTCTGTAGTGTGACACTCGCTAGGTCTGTAGTGTGACACTCGCTAGGTCTGTAGTGTGACACTCACTCACTCTGTAGTGTGACACTCACTCTGTCTGTAGTGTGACACTCACTGTCTGTAGTGTGACACTCACTAGGTCTGTAGTGTGACACTCACTCTGTAGTGTGACACTCGCTAGGTCTGTAGTGTGACACTCACTCACTCTGTAGTGTGACACTCGCTAGGTCTGTAGTGTGACACTCAGGCTTTTTAGAAGGGAAGGCATGGTGACCCTCTGTGACACTGAATTGTTTCATATCCAGGACAAAGTCACATTAAGGACTTTCTCCTGCTGCCATCACCTGCCAAGACTAATAAATAGTAGAGAAGTAACTCTTAAGGACATAGCATCTAAGAAAACTCCCAGGTATCTGTATGTCCTCCTGGAAGATGGAGAAAAGCCTACTCCTATCTGATACTCGGGATTAATCCATTAGTATCAGCGTGGCGTCAAACCCTCATTTGTCAATCTTACACATGCACGTTGGAGCCTTCCCTTCCTCCTCTGTAGCTAGGTCTCACAATGAGGCCCTGGCCAGCCTGGAATTCACCATGGAGACTAATCTGGTTTCTGACTTGTGACAATCCTCCTGCCCCTTGAGAAGTGCTAAGGGATCACTGACGTGTGTCACCGCACTCAGCTGGTGCTGACAGTTCAAGTGCAAGCCTGGCTGATGAGAAATAAGTCCACACATCTCCCAACATTACTCTGTTTATTAGCAAGAAGACAGGCTCCCACTGACCTGATTCGGCAGCCTCTGAACATGCCCGTGTCTACAAGGTAAGGGCAGACCAAAGTTGTTTTAATTCCATCCTTTTCAGCAGCCTTTAGCTCATGGCTCAGAGATTCGTGAAAACCCACAACTCCAAATTTACTGGCACAGTAATCCTGAGTAAGAGGAGAGAGAAGAGAAATGCTAAGTGTGCACACGCTCCCAGCTGATGTGAGGCTTCCTGGTGCTGTCTGGTTAGACGTTTACTATGAAGGTTACAGGTGACGAAGCCAAGACAAGGAAGCTGTCTTCAAGGACATATATCTGACATGGTTCAGAGCAGAAACAGCATCTTCCAGGCAACAACAGAACAGAAGAATGCTTTTTGCCACATCAACCGAGCATCATGTTACTATGGGGGAAGTCACTGCAAAGGGTTCTATGAGAGCTAAAAGGCTGGAGTGAAAAAATGCAGGGAGCTTTCCTTTGAAGTGCCTGGAAACCTTACAAATGGCCTCTTGTTTAGCGAAGGAGACTGAAAAACCTGTTTGTTACCAGGAGAACAAAGATAAGTTAACTTGGGCTATAAGTTATAAGCTATTAGGATCTGAAGTTAAATAGCAAAAGCCACATCTTCTGAACTTCAAACACAACTTGAGAGCATATGATATAGGAGTATTTGCGTATTTGCAAGAAGCGGCGTTTCCAATTTTCCAGGCATCTGTAGCCAAGTCTTAGGGAACAATGTGTGGAGATGTTTTATAATCTCAACCCAGTTAAGAACGGGTTAAGAAGCTGAGATCTACACACTCATACAGCACCTGCCCCTGGCCATGGCAGTTCACCTGTGACCTCACTTATCCATTCTCCCTACACTGCCGTGTCGCTCTGTGGGTCCATTCTCAACCCTGTACCTTCTACATCCAGCAAGGCTGATGAGGGAAATGGGCTCCGTCCCTGCCCTGTCTTCTGGGCTGTGACAACTTGGTAAATTGGTATTGGTAAGTTTACAGCCAAGGAGAACCCCTCCTCGGCAGCTGGCCAGTTTTAGAGGTGTGGTAGCAGGTCTCTTGTGATGTGAGAAGGAAGGAAATGCTTTAGAGCTGACAAACCTCAACTCCAGCAGTGCTGAACAACCCCAGGGAGCTCGCGACCGTCACAATGTGGCCATGGTTAATCTCCAGCATCGTCGGAAGAAAGGCCTTCGTGGTCTGAAAGAAGCAAGATGCAAGCTTTAGAACTGACATGTCACATCCCCTCTGAAGCCCAGATCACAGAACAATCTCAGAGCTGTAAAAATGACATCTCCCAGTTCATCTGAAAACATCTCCCATCTATCAAAGAGAGACCTTTTTTCTTAAGTGTCTGGCTAACTTAGCGCCATAGCATTGCCCTGCTAGACCAGCTGTAAGCCGGGACCAACAAAGCTGTAACCCAAGAACTTTGGGGGCTAATGTCCAGAGATGAAAAGAAAGTCATTAGGAGAAGGTTCTTTATCATCTTTCGAGTGATAGAGATCTGCTAATCTGAACCACTCCTGGGTCACAGGGCCTTCTCCTGTCATGCCCCGTGGCTCAGCTGTGTTCCGCTCTATGAGCAGCTGCCAGCCTGCCCACCAGCAGGTGCCTCACAACGTTTCCGAGGTGGCAGATCCATGAATGAAGAGCCGTCCTAGCACTCTGCGACACCTAAGGTTTACAGTCTAAGAGACGAGCAGGAGGTGAGGTACTTTAGAACATAAACCCTGACAAAGCTCAGAGCCATTTTAGTGAAAAAATAGTGCCATGGTGTGAATGCCGCACTGCTGGGAACCCAGAGGAGCCCGAAGGACCACAGTCCTCTGTGGAGCACATGCAGGGTCTCCCCACAAAGGCAGAAGTCCACCCACTCAGGGTAGCAGATGATAGAGCAGGCCCACAACAAGGTAGCAAAATCAGACATTGCATGGGCTTCTTATTAAACTACTGACTCCTGTCTCCAAGACACAGGCAGTATTTAAACAAAAAGATCCCCTGAATTACTTAAGATGATCTATAAACCATCCCACCAGGCTCCCAACAGTTTTATAACCTGCTTCTTAAAAGAAAGCAGCGAAGAGCAATCTGTCTACTGTTGAGTTATGGTCTACTTCCAGCACCGGTCCCCATGATTTATGAACTTACAAGACAAAACACTACACAGCCTCCTCTGAGAAGAGCTGCGTTCCATTTCAGACACTTTCCTGCTGAGGTATCAAAGTCTGCACACGCATTTCTAGTGCTTGGATAACTCATGTGCACAAGATCAAAAACAGTGGTCCCATTAATTCTGAAGCTTTCCACACTCCAATTCATGGGGCAGTTGCCAGATGAATCTTCAAGTGACTCGAGGTCTTGCCCAGACTGTTTCCCGCATCATCACAGCGCACCCATCCCCCAAACGACATCCCGTTTGCTTGGGGCTATTTTGGAACCCATGCCAGGCTCACTCTCATCTGCCCGCATTCCTGTCCTATAGAAACCGAAGTGTAACATTCATTACTCATTTATCTCGTTTTTAAATGAGTTTCAAATGCTCAACATCACTGGAATCTTCAATAATAACTTTACTAAGTTTTAAAATTCCTATAATTCGCTTTCTTTCTGTGCTGATATGGCACCCGCCAACATGGTGAACGTTCCTAAGACCCGCCGGACATTCTGCAAGAAATGTGGCAAACACCAACCCCACAAAGTGGCCCAGTACAAGAAGGGCAAAGATTCTCTGTATGCCCAGGGAAAGCGGCGCTATGACAGGAAACAGAGTGGCTATGGTGGGCAGACTAAGCCTATTTTCCGCAAAAAGGCGAAAACTACAAAGAAGATTGTGCTGAGACTGGAATGTGTGGAGCCCAACTGCAGATCTAAGAGGATGCTGGCTATTAAGAGATGCAAGCATTTTGAACTGGGTGGTGATAAGAAGAGAAAGGGCCAAGTGATCCAGTTCTAAGCTGACCTTGTTATGAAGACAATAAAATCATGAGCTTTCACTCAAAAAAAAAATCCTATAATTCTTTATTTATTTTAGTCTTTGCGTATGTGATATCAGAGATTGAACCCAAAGAATTATGTGCACACCACTCAAAATACAGCCCCAGGTCATGTGGTTTCGTATTGTTCTAGACCAGCTTGACTTTGTCTACACCCTAACATATCATTATGTATTTTACAGTGTTTTGATTCTGCTTGTCTTATACTTGTCTGGCTATCCCAGACAAGCTCAAAGACATAGCTCAGTCAGTCTTACAAATACTGGAGCCAAATCCTTCTCATACCACATGGACCAGCACACTGTTGCTGTCCGGAACAGAACACCAATGCTTTGGTTCCACTGTTTCTCTGGAGTAGTAAACAGGAGCAGGGCAAATCCGATACTAATAATTACTTTGGTCAGTTGGCATTCCAGGTCACTTAAGGGCTCAACTTCAGGCTCTATAACTTACATGCAGTGGTTATTCCACAGAACTGAGGTAGAGGAGTTTGCAGGAGCACATACACTTCGAACTAAAGTAGAAGGTATGAAGTCTTAAGAGTAGCTACATCTCCTGAACGTCTAGTTAAGACTAATGCCTGCAGATTAATTAAAGGGTCTCTCATTGATTGGCCAGACAGACTGAGTGGCGAACACCAGGGATCCATCTGTGCCCCCTGCCAGCAGCAGCAGACTTAAGATCCACACCACCATACCTGGCCTTTACTGGGTGCTGGGGATCCAAGCCCAGGATCTTAATGCTTGTATAAGCAACACCTTATCAACTGAACATCTCCCCAGCTCCAGGGAAACATCTTCTTAACCTGAGCCAACTCATCTCTGAGGTCACTTCTAGGGACTTGTGAGCCAACCTAAAAACTTACCTTAAGCTGAAAGGGAACTTACTATCCCAAATCTGCTGAACACTCCAGCTTATCCTGGCCCACCTCAAGTGTGCCCAGAGCACTTGTGTAAGCCTCCAGCCGGGCACAAGTGCAGAGCGACTGCAGCGCCTAACGCTAGTCCGGGGAAAGATCAAAATTCAAGGCACAGTTCCTTCTGCGCATATTACCATTTCAAATCATCACAAAGTCAAAGGAACCTAGTCAAACCATTCTGAGTTGGAGGGACTGTCTATATTAAGTTTGCCTAGTGTTGAAAGACAGGGATAAATTTAGTGCCTTTTAAACTTTGTTTTAAAAGTTCTTAATGCAGGTAAGTACAAGGACTTCATATTAAATGCTAAGAAACGGCACACAGTCTAAAAAAGCCAGGAAGATTTTGGTCTTCTTGCTTTGGTGGTCATGTTCAGCAACTGGGCTGACTGAAAACCCATTCACGCCAGCGTAGGTAAGACTCTGATAACCGCTGGGCCGTACGTGCTAAGGGCCTGTCTAGAGGCATTAAGCAACTAACCCAGATCCCCAGCACAGAACAGGGCAGGTGACAAGTTCCCAAGGTTGTGACAAGGTCTCAACTTTAATTTGTTGCAAAATTCTGAAACTGATTAATGTCCCCTCCTCCCTCCAGGAGGGAGTCTGGTAATATCAATGTATCCACTTGACAGGCACTCCCCCAACATCTAGTATTGGCAGGCACTATGTAGGGACCTGGCCAAGCAGCCATTAGTGAGCCAGGGGCTGGCCCATTCCTCCACTTCTGTCTTTGAGCACAACTCTGCACTCACCCGTGCATCAGTGTAAGTCAGCTCGAGTTTACCTTTAGCATAAGAAGGTGCACAGTGTCAAAACAATGTGATTTGGGTCTAATTTTACTCTGATGCCCTTGGTCCATCTCACCCACCTGCAATGCTGTCTGGAAAGCGAAGGTACTCTGTGTTTAAGGGAGGGGACAGAAATAAAACAATCCAAATATGGCCAAGTAACTGGTCTTTATGTGTGCACTACCGGAGAACTGTTTGAGTGGCTAGTTACAAGATACGGAGAGGAGTGTTTTGTTCAGATACAAAGCTCTTTTTAGTCTTAATCTTTACAGTAGCAGTGGTCAATATTCAATTTGAAGCACATGACTTCTTTACCTAACAGTTACCTCTGAATGAAGGAACTGGAATGTGCCTTCGTATAGTTTACATTTTAAGACAAAGGCTCATACTTTTCATTTAGAAAGTGTCCAGCTGTAGGTGAAGCTATAAACCACGACACTCCTGACGATACGCATTACAGTTTGACCCTAAGAGGTGAAGCCATCTGAGGCCGCACAGTCAGCCTGCAGGTTTCGGGCCGTTTGAATGAAACTCTTACCAGGCCTTCCCCTTTGCGAAGCAGAGACAAGCCTGAGGTAGTCAGTACCCGCGTCAGGATCACTCCAGTGCCCGCTGACGCCACACGTGACTGCGCACTGAGGCCGTGGGCAATTACAGCTGCCACAAGCAACCCCACCTGAGGTATGAGCTTTGCTAGTAGATAAAGTTAGACTCTTACTTTGTAAGAAAAAATACTGCAAATGGGTGAGTAGAAGCCGTGGCACTTTCAGGAATTTTCTGAAGTAAGCTCTCCCGTCGGATTCTTCTTGCCCTCAACAGTCTGCTAGATGACATCTGAGATAGCAGTGTACTCCGTCCTTGACACAGCTTGACAGCAGAAAGAAATCCGGCGCTTGGCAATGAATTATTAATGTGCACAAATATTGTAGCATGTGTGAGGTGGAGACCAGCGAAAGGTGAAGTGCTAGTTGCCATGACACCAGTCAGTTCAAGCTAAGGTTCATCATCTTCACCTTTGTCTCAAAGAGTCTGAGCCTCGCGCCTAAGTGACTTCAGGCATGAACTTGAGCATGTACTGCACGTGTGCTCTCAAAAGGGACAACTCACAAAGTCCGCTGACCGTCGAGCGTGTTGAGACAAGAGGATCTAGATGGGGTTCAGGCTGTGTAGCCAGGCCCACAGTGGTTGCTAAGGTTCCCTAGGTCCTGATTTAAATTCAGACAACTGTACCCTGCTTTCTCTTCTCGCTCACACGTTCTGAAAGAATGGAGGAAAAAATCTAGCGTCCATCAGAGAAGCCACAGTTGGTCACAGCACTGGCAACTCTTAGTTGGGACCTAGGACTGTTTAGTGTTTGTGTTCCCCGCCCCCCTCCCCATTTGTAAAAATGAAAACTTTCATTGGCATTCCGTGTTTCCGTCGGCACAGTTCCTCAAGGTCCCTCTTCAGAGCTCTGGGCACTCTGGAAGGAACTGTTAAGGGTCCCGTTTACACTCTGAGCAGGGTCTTCCTAACAGAGAAGCCAGGGCTGCGTAGGGACACTACATGCTGCAGCTTGAGCAATCTTTGAACGCTATGTTTACACCAACTTAACTCACAACAGCCCGCTGTCCAGACTGTTCTTGGTGCTCTTAATGACAGACTGGGCAGCACGGAGCCTGCAGCTGCACTGTCAGAACCAATCAGGCTCAACGAGAGGATGTGGAGAGATGTGGAACCCGGCAAAGGCTAACTTCTGCCATCTGGACACATCGCACGGTGGAGGCGCAGGTGAGACACACAGAGTTCAGGTTCACGGACACAAAGGGGAAAATTAATTTCTCTCAGTAGAAAAAGGATTCGCACTACATTTTTATGCATTTGCCAGACCATCCCATGAACAATCTCAGAAAAGCTATCTTTAAAAAAAATTCAAAGTATTTGTCTCTCAGTTGAGTATTCAAGGATAAACAGAAACTCGTTTCCAAGTGGGATAATGGGAAATGGGTTAATAGCGCTGACATACCTAGTCCACACGGCAGCATGATATACAATTTAGGGAAGGAAAAAATAAAGATGAAGGAGGGGAGGAACAGAAAGAGGAGTAAAACCAAGACTGCACTGAGCAGAACTTTCACACATGGAAATGTTGTGTCTCCCCAGGAGTAAACCCCTTTTCTTGTACTTTGCTCATTCTATCTGTGCTACTACCAGAGTCTTTATCAGGCTCACAAGAGAACACTCTGCACGACCATCATGGAATCTGGCGGCGCTCCTCTGTGAAGCCTCAGTCATGGCTCCTGGAAAACTGTGACTCAATCGTGAAAACCTTTGTATATGTGTATTTGTGTGGATGCATCTTTCTGTCCCCCTCTCTCCATCTCTGTGTGTGTGTGTGTGTGTGTGCGCGCGCGCGCGCGCGCACACGCCCGCCGGGGGTAACCTCCAGAGCCACTCTTTAGGAGCCATCCACTTGTTATTTTCAGACAAGGCCCCTCACGGGAACCTGGGATTCACAGATAGGGCCACAATGGCCAGCCAGTGAGCTTCAGGGATCTGTGAGTCTCCATCTTCCTGGTGCTGGGATTACAAATGTGCACCACACCTGGCCTTTTCATGTGCACAGTGGGCATTAAACTTGGGTCCTTAGAAGCACTTTACCAGCTGAGCTATCTTCCCAGCCCCTGGGAAGGACTTTCTAAGGCACTACAAATACAGTGACTGAGTTTGGAAGATAAGAGGATAAATCACTAACATGCCCAAAGCGTACCAATGCTGATGCACTGCACTCTAGGTAAGGAATGAATGGCTAAATATTTTGAATTCTGTAAAGTTGAAGGTATCTGATGAATATATATCAAACTTTAGAACTTTGGCCACAGACAAGTGATGCTTGATAAAAGCAATCTTTATTACAAAAATACCTATAGCTAAGAGATAAAGTATATTTGCTAGGAATGTACTGATGAATTCTTTTAGATGCAGTTGACAGATCCTGCTGTTCATGTAGCTGCATGAGAACCTGTGCTCCCTGTCCCAGCTGGGCTCATTTACACAGGCAGAAAGGTCTCTGAATAGTTGTGCAACAGAGCCCTGGGGCACTGGAGCCTGGAACTACTAGTCTCTTAGCCTTAACACAATGCACATCTTACTGTCCATTAAACCGAGACACAGCATTTGTTCTAAAGACAGAGGGGAGCTGGAGAACATCACGAGAGTCACATCTGTGCTGGTGTTGCAGACAGTTCTGACTGAGAAGCTATGGACAATGGACTGAAAGCATCAGCAGTTAATCCTTGCACATGCACAAGAAGACTCCTACAGTTGCCCTGCAACCAAGAAGCTAATAAAAGCTCAGCCTTTCAAACGAACACCTAGATGATGACACCATTAGTTATTCAGCAAAAATAAATGCTTCATTAACTTGTCTTCCCACTGTTAAAGACGGGATGAATGTAGCCCAGGGCAGAAGCTGTGGTTCCAACATTCCCTTACAGCGTAGGGCCTGCTACACAGAAAGACCGGGGAGGAGGTGACTACACTCTATCTGTTGGGAGAGTGCACTGGTCTTCGGGATCCAGAGCCTACAGTCCCGACAACCAGTTACCTAACCTTCCTCTCTGGCTGGACAGAGCTCATTTGTGATACAGAAGGGGACCTCCAGGACTTATGCTCCATGTCCACAGACTCCTTCATCCGTCCCTCAACAGCGAGAACTCACAGCACAGGTCTTCACTCTGCAGCATTCCTTGCCTAAGCCTCTCGTAAATGACTCAATAAGGAATCAACTCTATTACTGCAGCTGCCAGCATCTGGTGATCAGTAAAACATCGACTCATTAAATATTTATTTGTTGTCGTGGCTGTGCCTTTTCACATAGTTTAACATGCATTCATACCTTTTATCTATTAAAAATTACAAACTGTCTGTGAGAAACACTTATCATTATTCTGTTTTGCTTAAGTCTGTGGCAGTTCCATGTGTTAAAAACAATGAACATGGGTTTTGAAATTCTGCTTCCTCTGCTCCCCAGATGATCAAAGGAGAGGTCCAGGAGCTCATAAGCTCAGGCCCCCTCGCCTATTTAACAACTCTTATGGAATAATGAAAATAGCTCAGAAAATTGCAGCCATATCACCTGATGAGTGGCAGGCTGTTGCCCAACCCCATGTCTCACACTTGTACCCCTTCCCAGAAACCATAATTAAGACAGACGGTCTGAAAGGCAGACACTGGTTCTGTACTAGTGACCAGGGACTACATCCAGAAGGCACAAGACGCCCACACCAGCTTAGCCACTGCTCAGGCCACTGCAAGCGGCAGGATGTCTTTGCCCCGGTCCAAAGGCCCTATGGCCATCAGCCCTTGTATTCACACGTGCAAATAGTTCACATACTTCACTGCTTCCAACAAGTCTTTAAAGACTTCTTTATTTAGCACAGGGTACGTGTAATCAAGGGGTCAACGCCTGAAAACCTATGGCGTCTGTGCTGAGTTAGGTGCTGCTAAAACACAAAGATAACACTTGTGACTCTTGTGAGAACTTTAGGAATGATAGAAACCGCCTTTTTCTTTAAAACAGTGGTTCTCAAATCCTGCTGCACAACTATCTGTGAAGCTCTTCTCCTCATGTCCAGGCCACACACACCATCTATTCTACAATTCCCAAGGGGGCAAAGCAGGTGGGACATACTCCCCCAGGGGACTGCAGAGAGCAGCGGGGGATCCAGGGCTAAAGCAGAGCATCTCAGACTCAGGACCACCAGGAAGTTTAGTGTCTTAGAGGCACACCTCGGGATGCTGGCGGAACATGCCTCTCATCTTCACTCGATGCCAACTCCATCGAGCCGACAGGAAGAAATGTTTCCAAAGGTTGCCATGCTACATGAAGGCAAGGCTGCCTCCTAAAAGTCATTCTCTAAGGAGCATGGTCGTCAGTGAAGAATGCATATATACGTATATATGTACATATACAACCAGAGTGATTTTCTTTTAAGGTCAGGAATACATTCTATGCAAAAAAAAAACAAAAAACAAAAACAAAAAAACCCTACAAATTTGTGCTATCCCATCACGTTTAGCTTCTATGGCTTTACACTACCACTTTACAACTAAAATCTTTTTGGGAAGTAAAATAATGCTGAGGATACAGCTGGGAATTGAACAGCGTTACAGGGTTGTGCGTGCGTGTGCATGTGTGATGCTGGGTCAGTGCTTCACTACTGAGCCGCATCCCTAGACAAAGAACACTAGACAGTAACAAGAGGACTGCTGCGATCATTAGTCAGCCCCAGCTAACCCACAAGTGCTATCAGTAAACTGTGAACTCCTAACAAGAAAACGTCCTTTTAAGCATAGCACGTCTACGTGACACCCTCCCCCATGGCAACAAAATGCCAGGGTCCTGGGCTGGGAGCTGGGGCTCAAGGAGAGCAGCACCGGTGATGCCCCGCCCACCAGCCCACAAACCCTGGCCAGAGCTCACTGCAGTCTGAAGCAGGAAGAACACAGCTCTTCATTTTCTCCCACTCAGCTTATAGCAGACTTGGAGGGGGAACGACGACACGCTGGACTTGCTCATTCATACCCTAGATCTGAACCCAAATTAAAACAAAACAAAACAAACAAACAAAAACCTAGCTGGGTGTGGTGTTTTTCTGGATCCCAGCACTGAGGCTGCAGCTGGAAGACACTGAATTCCAGGCCAACCCAGGCCGTAGAGCAAGACCTTGTCTGAAAAACAGGAGATAAGCCACTTGCTGTGCAGTGGGAAGACCCTCGTGGGAATCGTCAGGGCATAGCAGTGTGTGTTTGTAGTCCAAACAAGAAGACTGGAGCAGCCTAAGAGGCTCAAAACCAGCCAGCATGGCATAGCCAATGGTGAACGAGAACCTGTCTCAGGGCGGAAGATGAGGAGAGACACTCAGGGTTGTCCTCTGATCACCACAGGAACACTGGTATGTTGTGGAATGCACACATCTGCACGCGCACACACGAACACACACACATACACAGAGAGAGACAGAGATAGACACAGACTTTTTTGTTTGTTTAAAAATAGAAATCTTGATGAGGGTGGGCTCCATCTACAGTGTATGGCAGGACATTTGCCTAGTTTAACAGGCTGGTTGAGGAGAAGGGGAGGAAGGATGAAGACCTGCTCCTCTCCAGACAGAGATGGGACAACGATTCTCAGAGGAGAGCTGCCACTGCTGGCCACTGCTGCCATGCTCTGCACTAGCGTGGCCCCACTTCCATTAGAACAAGGTCTCAAAGACCCAAGATGGGTCAAAATCCAGATGCTCTGAGGGTGTGGCTGTCGCGACCCTGCAGACCTGAGCAGCTCAGTGCCCCCTCCCCTTCCTGGGACAAGCCAACCCCAGCCCATGCTCTGTGAGCCCGTGAGCTCACCTAGGAGAAGATGGCGTCTGTACAAGTCAGGTGCTTTGGCAGCAGTACCAGCTGGTGGAAACCGCAGGATTTTCAAAATCCTCGATTAAGATTTTTAAAGTCTTAGAGTGATCCGAAATTCTGATCTCATAAGATGCTTATGGAACAGAATAAAGATTTTTGCATTTCCCAGGAGCTAAGCAAACAAAAACTCGACCCATGCTGACTGAAATTCTGCACCAAGCACTCATAGGCCTTGCTCGCCCGTCCTTGTAGAAGAGGCCTTCTCTTGTGCTCTCCTTCAGGTCTCCTCTGCAAGGCTGACACAAACCAGGAAGCGAAGGAAGGGAACTGGGTGATCACGGATGCAACCACATGACTCTCCAAGATCTTGGCCACCTCCAATGTAGGCCATGGGAAATTACAGGAAAGGCACAGAAAAACCCAGAGCTGGACGTTAGTAATAAAATTCTAGTGTGACATTGATTCTTCAAGCTACAATTTTACATGCATGTCTAATTTATAGAGCAAACTTTCTGGGCATATTAGCTAGGGTTAATAAGTCATTACTAAACTTACCATGCTAATAAAAAATCACATTTGAAGATTCTTACATTATACCAGAGGGCAAAGACTGTAAGTGAGTCACAGGACAAGCTACTGGACAAGAGCTTTGAACATTAGTAACAACTTTACACGTCCTAACTTGGAGCTTTCGGGCGAGGGTCTGGGTCCTACCGCCTGCCTGGCTTCCTTGTGGAAGATCTGAAGGAAGTCTCGCTCTACTTCGAGATGGCTGTTTTAGCCACCGATGAAAGGATAATAGCGCTATTTAACTCAAACTTGCTGCAAGGCTCAAATGAAAGGTGAGTGTTTCTGAAGAATCTGCCAGTTCAAATGCCATATAAAAAGCCCAGTGAATGGACGGAGGCTTGTTAAGGACATGCTTGTAGGCTATTTTGGCTGAGTGCTGTCTATTTTTGGCTGGCTTGCTCCTTGTTTCTTTCTTGAGGCTCCCGCAGTTCCTGGTTCTTACTATGTATAGCTGCCGGTCCTCCCTGCCCTCCGCACAGCACCAGTCCGTACTCTGGGTTAGAACCCGGATGTAAGCACCAGAGGAAGCCTGTGGCTCATGCTGCCGAGCAGTTGTTTCACAGGCCTTGAATCCCAGAGGATGCTGGGAAACAGAAGCAAACACTTCACAGTGACACCTCTCCTCTAATGCCTTTCCTCAGTCCTCCTGGACTGAGCACAGAAAACAACTGTTTTAACTACGAACCAAAATAATACTTGAATGCAGGTTAAAAATACTCACTCCAAGTCTGTGCAGAAGTCTTGAAAATAACTGATTACACCAATTACCCTCTATGTTTCTTTCCCAGGAGACTCAGAAGCGCCTCATTTAAAAGCCCTTGAGAAAGCAGCAGGGGGCAGTATGCTAATTACAATTTGCAGGTGGGAAAATCGAGGCTTTGAATGTGATGTTTCACTTGTCCTCAAAATACCCATGTGTTTATGCAACTTACACTACAAATATTTTCCCAGTTACACTGATTTGGGAAGTGTTATTTTGAGCCTCATTGCTTAGAATAACACTAAGAAACCAAACCTTGTTAATATTCAAAAACTCCAGTACTAAGGTATTTGAGGGAAAAGGAACAAATTCACATTTTATGCAAGCAGCAAAAGCATTTGTGTGATCTTGGAAAGCTTCACAGACCAAGTAATTGGTCTTGTAAAAACACAAGTTTTGTTTTCAAATGTGAATTCCTTCTAAGTGCCTTGTCACTGAAGGGGCTGGTGTGGCGGTCAGGGCCCCCAGCAATTGTCCTTGCTTGTTAGACATTCTAGCCGCATTTGCGGACGCTTCTGTGATTACCAAGCAGACTCACATTAGTTTCTGAGCATGTTGGGGAAAATGCACCCTGACAGGTGTGAACTTGAGTTTGAAGGGAATTGATAAATACAATGGAAAGGAAAAAGGAATTGCAAACAGGCCACACTTGGGAAGCTCATCGGGTAAAACAGGCCAGCATTCCTGTGGGTGAAATCCTTCTTGAGAGGGGGATGTGGAAGGCTGCACAAACCCAGAGAACCAGGTGACTGAAACTGGTTGGCCAGGTGTGTCACGGGAAGTGTGACTAAACCCTGGGGCCGTGCTCTGCCAGCCAGGGTTAAGTCACAACACAGGGACATTTTCTGATGCTGCCTTCCTACTTTAATGTCAATAAAGAAGCCAAAGCTCCTGTCCCCTTAGTTATTTGCTAATTATGAGGGAGGGGGAGGGGAGCCTGGAAAGAACTTCCAGGACTGCAGACAGACAGATGTCAGGGGCAAGACCCTCCGAGTAGCTAACATAATGCATTGCTCTCTGAGATAAGGAATCACTAACTAACCCAAACGAGATGAACATTGTAGTCTGAGTTTGGGCATTACAGGCTCAAACACTGGATTTAACTCGTTCAAGTGAGACAGGAGGTAGATCCCTATTCTTGAGGATTGTTAGACTTTTTTCTCCCCACACTTTCAAGATTAATAGCAAAGGGTCCCTTCTCCTAGGGAAAATCGAGTTATGTTTTATGTTTTTAGGAAATAAGATATAAATCTGACCTGCCATGACACCCCCTAGTGGAACTTTAGCAAAGTACAGTTTGGGGGTCCAAAAACATCTTGGATACAGGTTATTTTTCTAATCCAAAATGCCTACAACAAGAAGGGTTCAGAATTCCTCCATATTTGCATATGCATAATGAAGTATCTTGGGGATGGAACTCAAGTTTAAATGTAAATTTGTTTGTGTTTCTCACATATACTCAGCACATATACATAGCCCAAAGGAATTTGATGCAAATATTTTGCTTCTGTTTTGACCCTATCATATACATATGGTTAAGTGTGGAACTTTCAGGTTTCTGATCAAGGTGCTCTTGTTTCTGGGGACTTCCAGTTCAAGGCTAGGGGCTAGCACCACAGTCACCTGCCCACCGCTCACCACTGAACAGAACAAAAGCAAGCAAGTAAATAAATGAAGCATGTGCTCTGCAAATTCCCCCAGAGTAGGGATCCGAGGAAGGCAAGCTGGCTGCTCGCCTCGGCTCAAGAGGCTTAATTTTAGTTTCTGAAAGAACTGAAGCAGAAAGTTAGGCAACTCCGCTATTATTTATATCCCCTATCCCAAGAAAAGCCTTAAATAAAAGGGATTCCTACTTAAAATTCTTCTACTTCTCAAGTAAGATTATTAAAGTGCTCCCAGTAATTTTCTGATTGTCGTTAAATTAATTCACTGAGGTCAGAGAATCAACCCACTCAAATTTGCCAAAGGTCATGAATGGCTCACAAACAATTGCAGCAAAAGCAAATTTAAGGGACAAGAATAAACGGGGAGAACATGGGTGGCTGTACGTTTAACCGCAGTGTCTGCAGCTCTGCCCCCGCCCCAGCGACCGGCCCTGCAATGAATGGCTAAAGACTCTGCCAAGGGCTCTCCGTTCAGCCTTTCTGAAGAAGCTACTCAGAGAGCTACCCTGGCATGGGTTAAAGAATGCCCCACTCTCCCACGCCTTTTAAATTAATTTTTACCTGGGCAGATAATAAATAAAGTCCCGGGCACAGAAACTCCAGGCATAGAGAACACCACTTTGCTTCAAGAAACTGAGAAGCACCAGTCACTTGCAATCAAACAACAGGAGGTCATTCCTTGGACCATGACTTTGAGGACTGTCCACCAGGGCCTGCCATTTACAGATAAAGACCCTGCTGCCCTTTCACAGGTGTGACATGCATCTGCTTGTCCCTGAGATAGGAGTCACTCTGCAGCCCAGGCTGCACCTAACTCACGACAATCCAGCCGCGGCCTCCTAAAATTTGGGTTTACAGGCTTAAGCCCCCATATTTGACATTGTTTGGAAAAATCGATTTGATTTTATTGTCTCCCAAAAAACCCAAACTCTTCTCCAGTGCCAGAAGCACCTGGGAAGCATGGCTACATGGGCTCTCGCAGGTCAGTCGGGTGTCTAGTCCAGCAGAGACAGAGAGTGCCAGGGAACAGAACAGGTGCTGAACTGGGAAGACAGATGTCGTTCAAGACACCATGCTTATGGCCTTCGACTTCCCATTGTGAGCAATATGGTCACACTTCAAACTCAACACTGCTTAGATAACCCTGGGCTGGGCAGCAAGGACTAGACACAGGGAAGGAAGTCCGGGGGCTCTTAGAGTCCAGGTGAGAGGACATGGAGGCATACATGATGAAGTGGACATTTGTTCAAAAAGGACTTGGTGACCAACGAATGCGCACAGGACACACAACTGCTGTCAGGCACGGTGACTCAGCCAGAGTAGGGAGTGAAGGGGTAAAGAGCTGAGCATCCTCACAGGCTGACGGACAAGGGGACAGCCAGGAGGAGCGTGAGCTTGCCAAGGGCCTAGAAATCAGTTAGGCCACAGATTACCCAGTTAGATAGAGGCACGGAGAGAAGGGTGTGAGCACACAACACCGAGGAGCCAGCGCTTTACCGTGGAGAGCTAAGATGTGGAGCAAAGGGGAGAAGGGACTTGCATTTCAAGGAGGCGATCAAGGCCACATTCTGAGAACACAGGCTTCCCTCTGCCAGCTGAGAACACACGGCACTGGCTACCCAAGTCTGACAACCAGGCACAGACTATACTCTACCAACGATGGAGTGGCGCTTTTAGATGAGATACCACTTTCTTCCTTGCTTACACCAGGATGCAAAGTATTTTATCATGTTGTAAAATTTGACTTTTAGGGGCAATAGGTTTGGCCCAGCATATATCAATATAGAAATTCAAAATTCACAGAGCATGTGATCTTATTCTGTGTACACAGTACAGCTGTGCATACTCCAAGCAGCAGCCAATCTAAAGAGAAGTCTCATCAGTGTTCAGCGACCGCCAGAACCTGACACGGTAGCCAACACGGACCTCTGCTCAGCCACCACCTCCTTCTGCTCTCACACAGCTACACACAGGACGTCTACCGGGTGGCAGGAGCCAGTTCCGGCACACTGACAAAGAGGGTACAAACTCCACATTTTCAGCAGCTACCCTGAAATAGGAAAATGATCATTCCATAAAATATTTAGTTTTATAATATTAGAGTATGAGAGAGAAAGAATTAGACAAATAATTTTATGAGTACTTTAGAAAAAACACAACATTTAAAGTCTAAGAGAGCTTAAGCCAACTAGGTTTTCCTAGTCAGAGAATACAGTATATAAGATTAAAACCAGTAAATCACGTAGGAACGCAAACATTAACGATCATCAGGTACAGTGGTAGCGCGCTAATGTCTTTAAGTGCTGCCTTACTCTGATCTAGCCAGTGGCTCTCACTTCTCCTGGATGGATTCTACTAAATAGACTGCAGACATTTAGATATGGATAAATGCTGAATTCGGTAATTCGTATTTTAAAACTGTGAAACCTTTTAAGTTAAGTGGTCTATTAATTAACTACCAATTGTCTTGTCTGACTACCATATCAATAGAAGTAAATTACTGACTAGCTATCTGACAGATTTAGTCCTTTACCATGGAAAATCTCTACTGCACATAAAAGGCCTGAGGTTGAATGCTCTTGCTTTTCTCTTTCTGGTAATCCTGGATCAGTTTGCCAATTTGATAAAGGCCAAACCCAACTCCCTGGTTTAAAAGGACCTATGGCTAAACTCTGGCTCAGAAACCAACCAAGACTCCCTCTCCGGAAAAAAAACCCTAAGCGAAGCTAATTTAGTTATTTCAGGGATAGGCGAAGCTGCAGTCACTGTATGGGGCCAGGCTGCAATGTCACTGGTAGATGAGAGGTGTGTTTTCAAGTTCTTGCCTCTCTCGGAGAGGGCATTTGTGTGAATGACTTGGATGCTCACGGCAGACAAGCAGACTAAAGCCTACCCCGCACATCATCCATGTGCTGACTGGAACCAAGAGAAGGCTCCTGGAAGGTCTGCTGGTGCAGACCAACTCTGAAGGCTAGTGCCTTCCAGTCTGCAGAGTGTATGTGCTCAGAAGGAAGGAACAGCAGCAATACAGGCTCTCCTCCAGAGGCCCGGGTCACAGACAATGAATGATGGCTGCCAAGCATTCAATCTGTGTTTGATTCACAGTGCTGTACCAGCAGCTGTCTTCTTAAAAGACCGAGCCTTGCACCTAGGAGTGGGCTCAGTACGCTACGGAAACAAGAGCACACAGGAGCAAGGGGAGCAAAAAGTGTGGGTAGGAACCGAAGGATACACAGACAATGAGTGGAAGGCAACCCCGACTTGAAGTCAATAGCTTGGTTAGTCCAGCATGATGCTTCCCTGCTCAGAAGACAGCATGGACCCATCTGAGGACTCTCTGAATAGGTTACCTTCTAAATATTTAAGCAGAAGCCTGTTACGTATGATCAAATATTTATTAACTAAATTAGAATGCAGTTCCAGGTGTGTGTGTGGGGTGTGTGTGTGTGTGTGTAGTGGGGGTTCGGCTATAACAAACTGCCACCAAACAATCTGTCACCAACTTTGTTATGTGAGGCACAAAGTTGACAAAGTTCTTTCAGAAAACACTTACTATGCGCCAAAGGACAAAATGACAATATATGCCACAAGAAGCAGAAAAGGAAAAAGAAAAAGGTTATACACAGTTCATTTAACTGTAGCACACTGGAAAAGCAGGGATTAGGCCAGGAGTGTAGCTAGGGGGTAAAAAGCCCCAACATATGCAGGGGCTCAGAGAAGAGGGTGTTGAAAGGACAGTCCTAAGGCTCCTTACAGCTCCCAAACCCAAGGTACCAGTAGAGGCAGGGGTTGGGAGGGTCGCTTACATGGCCGTCTTGAACTAGACCCTAGAGGAGCAGTGGCTGGGGCTGGCAGAGCACCTCCAAGGTGGAGTCACGTGCTATTCTAGTTCCTCCACGACTTCAACTGAGTCAGGGCAACACAGTTGGTATTCCACGAAAACACATTGACTGCTAGTTAAAAGTCTGGCTTAAGATGATCTGTCCAAATGGCGGAATGTACTCTGCTCAGCAGACCGACATTTTTAACTGGATGGGGCAACTTCTTTTCCCTGCCCAGGCATAGTCAAAAGGCACACTGGTTATTTCCTTCTGAAACAAGAATGGCGGAAGCCAAGGCAACACATCTTTGCAAACCTACCACTAACATTTTCAAACAAGAAAACCAGAAATGGAAGCTGAACTCAAGTGGCATTTAGCAATACTTTTAAACCCCCGCAGCAACCACCGTAAAGATTAAAAGCAGCCTTCTTTTATGTTGCAGTTGCTCTCAGCTTCTCTAAAGGTTTGTGAAGTCTTGGCAAGAAGTCAGAAATTCCAACACTAAAATGAATTTTCTGACTCAATATTGAAAATAAACTCTTAAGTTTAGATGCTTAGGGGAAAAACAGCTGGAGAATTCAGGAGCCTCCCATAGTTTAATACAAAGTGATGTCATTACCAACCAGGCTTCCAAGAACTCCCTAAATTGTGTGGTTAAGCAACTCATAGCTCAGCGAGGAGGTTAGGAAGGTGCAGCTCACCCTTGGTGCATGGACTCGGGCACAGGGGTGCCTATGTTACAAAGTGGCTGGACGCCACACTAGTGTTATCTGTGCCCTTTCACAGGAGCCATGGGTTTCCTTCAGCACTCTTAAATCAGCCCCTAATTTCATGTCTAAAGAACTGCTGCTGTCCTGAGGCATGCATTTAACCCAAGGCTGCACGGTTTCTCCAAAAACCTGGGTATATTTAAAATTGTACAAGTTAGAAAAAGGATTATGCAGAGAATAGTCAAGAAGGTGAAACTGGAGGAAACTTGGTGAAAGTTGAAGTTAATAGTTAGGAAATCTTGCATCACCTCAAACGTTACTGAGGGGGAAAATCAGTGTCTGGTTAATACTAATCTTCCAATAGATGTGTCTGTTCTCAAGGCTGGCGAGGCAACTGAAATCAGCTGGAATCTGTGGCGGCTCAAACAGGGAACTTACACTGTACCCGCAGTTTGTTTTTTATTTCAAATGCTGACCCTGGTTTGTTTATTTTGGAAAAAAGGTCTTGCTCTGTAGCCCTGGATGGCCTGAAACTCAGTGTTATTAGACCAGGCTAACCTTGAACTTATAGAGATCCATCTACCCCTGTCTCCCAAGTGCTGACGTTAAAGGTGATGCGTGCTACGCCTTGTCTGGGGAGTTTTTTACACTCAGAGTTATAAACACGTAGGATTCCTGACAAATTATCCTGCCAAGTCCATTCAGTTTGCCCTTACTAACTCATGGCTGTGCTGTGACACTTGATGCCTGTTCCTGCAGCAGCAAAAGGCTTGTCTGCTTTGCACACCGACTGCTCACCTATGTACGTGTACATGTATGTGCTCATTCACTCATTTAAAATGCCACAATGGATGAGTTCAGCTTATTTATATGTTCATTTCCAGAAGCTTGGAAACAAATTACATAAAGCTCATGTTTCCAAATAAAACATTAGGATAAGTTTCATCCAGGACCAGAGAAGAGCCTTGATACTGGACAAGCAATATCTGAATACTTCAGAAGACAGATTAAGTTTTTAAGCAGTTGCTAAAACATTAATGAGGTTTAATGTGACCTGTTTAGGAGAAACAGCCCTTTGTTGAGTTCTATTGGAAGACATCTCTGCCTATGGGGGTAAAACCCTATCTCCTTACCCATTCTTCCTTTCCCCTTAGTGCAGGGATATAACCCAGGGCCTTGCACATGCTCAGTTCACACCCTACCACTACCTGAACTACTCTCAATTCTTCTTAGTTCTCTTTTACTGGATCATTTCTGACTACATAAGGAAAATACAAAGAAAAAACAGTAAATCATGGATCAACATGACATGCTCAGAGTTGGAGGGAAGGTGTTGCATCTACCTTTATTGACAATCCAGCTAAAAAGGTATGGTCCTCTGGGAACTGAAGCCCCCTTGCACTCTCTGGATGCTGTAGGACTCACAGGGACTCACAAATGCTCTTCCCCTCTCTGCAGTTCTTTCAAGATGACTCCTCATTTGAGAGGCGCCAGATAAAACAGTCCCGAGATGTCCACCATCTGAGCAGTCTGTATGGCCGATGGATGCTAAGTGGCTGCCAAGGTGGCCTAGCCACTCCCAATTAACCACAGATGCTGATCTCAGATTTTCTGGCACTTTCTAAAATGTGGCTGAGCAGTAGTTTGGAAGCCTAACCCCTGACTTTATGAATCCATAAGAACTAGGGTTTTCTAAACTCAACAGAAAGCTAAATAAACAAAGCTGGGGCTTACACTCCCTCTTGTTATTTTAACAGCAACCTTTCAAAGTAGTTCACCATCATCAATTTCTACCTTCTTAAGGAACACTGAAGGGGGCAGTTTAAAATACCCACCAGACACGGCGGGGACAGCTCATTAGATGTGGTGGGGTGCAGGTGGCTTTCATGCTGGCACGCGAGTCTGTCCTTCCGAGCCTTCTCACTGAGGACCCAGGAATAAAAACAAAGACATTCATATTTACCCAGAAGTGTGCATGGCAGTTGACCATCATGGTTCTCTCGATGAGCTCATCAGGGCATTCCAGGAGGTGATGTCCAGAAACCACACCGGCATTATTGACCAGGACCGAGACCTCACCGACCTCCTTGCGGACCCTTTCAGCTGTTAGGTAGACATTCTCCCTCTTTCCCACGTCACAAGTGTAGGTAAAAACCTGCAAGTTACACGGGGGCAGGATTTCCTCCTCACCATTGCCAGCTGTCCTCGGAATCCAGATGAGGGGAGGATGGAAGAGAGAAGGGGTGCAGAGAGTGAACCACATGGCAGTCAGCAGGACAAAACTCATACAAAGCAAAAACACTACAGTGAGCTTCAAATTTCTAACACCGTAATGCTTGCCAATAATTCAGCTTACAGCTGCCTTCCTCCCCCGAAAGTCTTTGGGAATTGCAGCAATTTACTGGACAACCTTGCTTAGGGGAAAGTCATGTAATTGTGGCAAGTCCAATACAAGTAGACCACATGGGATCAACTTGCTGGAGCTAGACACCTGCAAAGAACTGAGCTCAGCCCGGAGAATAACACACATTACACATTCCTGGTTTCAGATGGGGGTGGGAGGAAGCCAGTGGCTAGAAAGCTCTACCCTCAGAACAGAAATCCTCTCCAAGGCTCACAATCCAAATTGTAAGCAACAATATGAACTCATTCAAAGCCAGGAAATGGATGAGAAGTTTCTAATGAAAGAATGGAGGTCACTGGTTTGTCTTTAAACCGATTCCCTTAAGAATTAATCTCACGGATGGAGTTTAGAAGTTAATGTGCAAGTTTACCACAGTAGAGTTCAAACAGCATAAAATCAAAATCCCTTCCCTAAAAATGAATATTTCTTTCTCTCAAATGTGTTGCCTCTCCACACTAGCTCTGAAAATGTGACATTCGGAATCTCTCCTAAAAAGCACAGGTTCTGGTAAATTAGGTAACAAATGATAGGCATGGGGGAGAGCAGGCCAAGTCAATCTGGCCATCACCAAATTTCCTAGAACAGGATCTATAGCTGATCATGATCCCCACTTAGGTTTACTTTTTTTTTTTCAGATGCACACTAGCTGTTAAGCTCATAAAATGCAGAGTGGGGTACCCCAAACCATGAAAGAAGTCTACCTAAGGTCTGAAACACTGAAGCACCTTCTTTCTCAGAGGAAGGCAATCGCTCTCAGTTACTTAAGGATGGAGAAACAATGTAATTATTTCCCGGAGCTAAAGTTATAGTGAAACATCCACACAGCTCTAGCCTAAGCGGCCCAGACCTCACAGAAACAGATAACTGCTTCAGTTCCTTGTGGAACAACTTCCCAAAGACACTTTAGCTTCCCATCATGCCACATGCAAGCCAGACTGGGAAACTGCTTTGGGATCTAAACCTGTGGTAGTAGCAAGATTCCCCCCTGCCCTCCTCTATTGGCAGAGTTTAGGAAAGCCCAGCGTGGCGCCAGAGAAACCTGGCTTTAGCGCACTTCCAGTCTTTCAACACAGAAAACCGTACTCTCTTATCAAGGGGCAAATTCCACTCGCCTTTGGAAGACCTGTGGGTGTTCTTTTCCTGGAGAGCGGGGCTGCCCGTGACAGTAGGGTGTGGGGACCCTCCGGGGCCGGGAGAGGTTTGACCCAACAAAGCACTGGCCATTACCTTGCAGAGCAGCGGCGTCGGCCGCCTCCAGGTCCCGGTAGATGTGACGAACCATGCCTGCAGTCTCCTCGTTGCTCTGCGTGTTGATGTCCCAGAGAACCAGCTGTGCCCGGCGCCGGGCAAACTCCAGAGCGAAGAGGCGGCCCAGGCCGCTGCCCGCGCCCGTGATGAGGCACACCTGGCCGGCCACGCTCTTCTCCTTGGGCCGCACCAGCCAGCGCGCCGCGGCCAGCACGAACGCCCACAGCACTTTGAAAGTGACCACGAAGAACTCCACCACGATGTTCATCGCGACGTCCCGGGTCCCGCGCGAGCCCCAGCACTGTGTGTCCTCACCCTCCCCGCGCCAGACAGCCCAGCTCCTGGCCCCGGGAGCGCTTGTCACTGCGATCGGGGCGCGAAGCGTGCGCCCCGAGTCCGCCCCCGAAATGCCGAGAGGGGCCGAAGTGCTCGGGGGCCAGTCCCGCCCGGGCGCTCGGCGCGGTGGCCACGGGCTGTGCCTGCCGCTGCGGCCGCCCGGCTCGGCGCCTCCTGCTGGCGGCCGCTGGCTTGTCCCGCAGCGCCCAGCCGTCCGGTCCCGCTGCAGCAGCGGCGGTGACAGCCACGAGTTAGGCGACGCGCGCTGCCTTCATGACCAAGCCGCCGACGCCCGAACGTCCCCTGCGCCGCTGCAGCGGCTCCCTCTCCTCCTAGGGCAGGGGTGCGCCGTGCGGGCGGCTCCGGGCGCGGGAGTTGTCAACTTGACTCAAGTTGCGGGAGGGTGCGAGCAGCGCCGGGAAGGGACGACTTGTGGGGCGCACGAGAGGGCTGCCAACCGCTCGAGGTGCCAGCGCGCCTCGGGTCCCCTGCCCTGCACTCGCGCCGCTCACTCGGGCGCCGGGCTCTGCAGCGGAGCTGTGGCCGCGAGTCGGGGCGCTCTCCGCCGGCTCTGAGAGAGCTCCACACACCGCGCTATATAACCAGAGGGAAGCGCCGGCCGCTGCAGTGGCAGCGGCCCTCCCTCCGCTCGGCCCTCCCCGCCCCCGCCCCCCCCCCACCGCGCCCTCCCTCCGCCCGCTGGCCGCCTCACCGAGCGGGGCAGCCCCTCTCCCACGACCGTGGCCGGAGCCTCCCGCCCTCGTCGCGGTTCTCCTTGCGGCTCACGCCCCCTGCTGTGGGTCTCCGCGGCTGGCTCCTGCCTGGTCCCGCGGTCGCCAGAGCACCCCCCATCCTCCTCGGACCGTCCGGTCATCGCTCTTGCCCGGCTCGCCACTTTCGCCAGCCGAGGGACTGTGGACTCCGCGGCCTGCGATCAGGCGCTGCGGAAGACAGCCCCACTGGCGGGCGAAACGAGGACCTCGGCAGGGCGGCCGGGGTGGTGGTGGGGGGAGCAGGGCTGCGTGGCCACGGGCGGCAGAGAGCCCGCGGAGGTGGCCGACAGTGATTTCGTATCTCAGCCGCTGAGGGACGTGAACCCCCAGACTCTAGAGAGCCTCACGGGAATCACCACCGCGAAGGCTGCCCAGAGTCCCGGTCAACGTCGCCCTACAGCCCGGCGGGCTGTGGAGTGATGCATGCTGGGATTTGTAGTTCACCTTCATGAACGTGGCTTTTGGGTCCAACGATCCCGCGGAGTCTGAGCCTAATGTTGTCAACGCAACCTGGAGGAATTAAAGCCTCGAACTGATAAAAGTGTCAGTGTCGTGCTCATTTAAAAATAATGTACTTAGTGTATTTGTTTTCCCATGAGTTTTCCCCTGAAGTTGACTGGCAGTGAGTAGGTCAGACTGTTGTTAATTTTGCGCCTGCAAAGTGAGCGCGCATTTTCAGATTCTTTTCTGGCTTATCTCAGGACAGCTATAAATCCTGGGGCTTCGCTCTCGCGGACCTTTAAGGGGACAGCGCGCATGCGCCGACTTCCTCTTTTTTTCCGCCTGGAACCATGGAGGCTGTGCCGTAAGTAGAGTCTCCCCTTCTCCAGAATCCTCCTCCATCTCCCACACTAGAGGCATTTTTGCCTCACTTTTCCAGTGTCTGACTGTAGCCTGCACCACTGTCTACCTGTCTGAGTGTTTGTGACGCTGCGTGACATATGGAGGGGGGAACGGGCAGCCCGGGCGCGGAGGCCTCGGGGACGCCGGCAGCAAGCGGCAGAGTGTGTGCGGAACCCGCCGCTCGGGCGGAGGTCCATTTCACGGTGTCATGCGTGTCGAGGGGGCCAGGAATGAAGTTCTTTCTTGGCTAGAGCAGGCTTAGGCGTTTGCCGATCGGCCCACACCTTCGACATGTGGAACTTGAGATTCGAACCAGGAGGACATTTAGAGTCCTGGGACCTTAGCCCTACAAGTTACATCCTGTGGTAGCAATTTCTACAGGGTTTGCCAGCTTTTCCATCAGAGGCCAGATGGACTGATGACTGGGAATAGGCCTAAGTCTTAATGTCTTAGGTGTTAGCCTTTACGGCGTAAAGGTTCAAAGATGAATATTATGGACATGGAGGGAATCTAAACTCTGCATCTTCAGCAGAACATTCTAGGACAACGGAGATGCCAGTGGGTGATGGTTTTAACAGCATAGCACTGAGTACCTGCAGTGTTTGAGAGACATTAAGGTTTTTCAGTTATTAACAGTTCTGTTTGCTAATGACAGGGAGAAGAAAAAGGTTCCTGTCGCACCGGGAACCCAGAAGAAAAAGGTTCCTGCAGCGCCAGGAACCCTGAAGAAGAAGAAGGTTCCTGCTGTGCCAGAAACCCTGAAGAAAAAGCGAAGAAATTTCGCAGAGTTGAAGGTGAAGCGCCTTCGGAAGAAGATTGCCCTGAAGTCGCTTAGAAGGGCCCAGAGGAAGCTCATTTATGAGAAGGCAAAGTACTATCACAAGGAGTACAGGCAGATGTACCGGACGGAGATTCGCATGGCCAGGATGGCAAGGAAAGCTGGGAACTTCTACGTGCCCGCTGAACCGAAGCTGGCGTTCGTCATCAGAATCCGAGGTATCAATGGTGTAAGCCCAAAGGTGCGCAAGGTGTTGCAGCTTCTTCGTCTGCGGCAGATCTTCAACGGCACCTTCGTTAAGCTCAACAAGGCTTCAATCAACATGCTGAGGATTGTGGAACCATACATTGCATGGGGGTGAGTTTTCCACTTATGGATTAGTTATATGACAAGATGAACTTAGATACTTTGGCTGTATTCGGATGACCCCTTCCCTGGTTTCCCTATTTCAGGTACCCCAATCTGAAGTCAGTAAATGAGCTTATCTACAAACGCGGCTATGGCAAAATTCATAAGAAGAGAATTGCCTTGACAGATAATTCCTTGATTGCTCGGTCTCTCGGTATGTTATGCTT